GTAACTCTACTTCTTACTGCGGACGATAACCTGTTCTACCCACGGAGCCACGGCGGCATCTCCACAAGCAGACATTGGCCAGAATAATCATCACCATCACCTTTCGGGCAAAGTACACGGCGACACCGCTCATCTAAGCAGTATGTATTCCCGAGTGGGTGTAGGTGCTCACCCGTACGAGAGTTGGCCTTTTAACATGAACATGGCTGGATCCGCCCACGCGGGCATCAAGACTGAGGTGTCCTCGGTCAATACGCTCAACTCAACGACTTGGTGGGACATGCACGCGGCTTCTGCTGGAGCCGGATCTTGGCTCGATATGTCCGGCGCTGCCCCCGGATTGCACGGACAGATCCCGGCCAACTATACCGGGGGAGAGTATGGACTTGGTCCAACTTTAGCAGTTGCCTCCAACCCCGCACATCTCCTCACGTCAGGTCAACACATATTTCAAGATACTTACAAGTCGATGCTACCCCCGGCTCAGGCGATGGCCCACTCCGTACCGTCGCCTTTTGGACTCTCCCAGACAACCTTGTCTCAAGTTCCGTCTCCCCGTTCCGGGCGACGATATACGGGGCGGGCTACGTGTGACTGTCCCAACTGTCAAGAGGCGGAGAGGTTGGGACCAGCAGGGGCCCACCTGAGGAAGAAGAACATCCACAGTTGTCACATCCCAGGATGTGGAAAGGTTTACGGAAAGACGTCACACCTGAAGGCTCATCTTCGCTGGCACACGGGAGAACGGCCCTTCGTGTGTAACTGGCTTTTCTGCGGAAAACGTTTCACCAGATCGGACGAGTTACAGCGTCACCTGAGAACCCACACCGGCGAGAAACGTTTCGCCTGCCCCGTATGTAACAAGCGGTTCATGCGGTCCGATCACCTCAGCAAGCACGTGAAGACCCACAACGGGAACGGCACAGAGAAGAAAGGCAGCGGTAGCGAAAACTATAGCGATTCGGAAAACAGCCAAACTGAACCTTCGAGGGTCACATCGTCGTCACTGACCGGTCCGGTGCCCAACGGTCCAACCGGATGTGTCGCGAACACCAAATAATGTCTGAGAAATAATTCTTTATTCTTACAATCCTGTGCCATACATTGGCTGTGCCGTCTTACTGGGTCAAAATTTGACCTAACCTGACCTCTGTAACATTGTGTGGTTTCGTAAAAACTGAATTTGTTGTTGTTGTTGTTTTTTTTTTCTTATTACGTGTGAGTGAGGTGGCCAAATTACTTGTAAACACTGTTATTGTTTGCCTGTACAGTTGCTCCAAACTGGCACTGATTACGTAACTCGTATTACCCATGTACATATACATGTATATTGATCTCTAAGTGATGGAGCCACCACGTCCCTAACATCAGAGGATTTTCACTAAACTATAGTTTTATTTTTTTTTTCACGAGTCGCATGTGATGCTGTCTTTCGTGTGAGACAGCTTCACTGTGTTACGAAGATGGACTCGCAGGCGCCATTATGTCAGCAAGAGTTCAAGATGGTATTAACCGATTAAAAAAAACTGCTTTGTGATGTAGTCAAAGACAGAACATTGTGTGACCTTGTAGAGACATCCAGTAAGAACAATGGACAGTCCGAAAACATTCCCTAAGCGGGACATGACCAACTTAACAATGTTTTATCTCTCTCTATATATATTAAGGTCAAAGGTTGTGTGACATTATGTAAGACACGTGGTGTTAGCATACGGGACTCTGTGAAAACACAAAGAAAGAAGCAATTATAAATGTCCTAACTGTGTTATTGCGTTGATGTGTTATTGCGTTGAATATTGACATTACAATGGATTTAAAAACGATAAATAAATATTAGATAATGTACTCAAATGTTGTGGTCTTACTTCTTGGTCTCAGTCACAAAATAAGAGTTTAGAATATTAAGAAACAAATGTTCAATACATAAACAGACATGCACTATGAATTCACACATTTAGTTAAACGTGTTCTTGTTAACCTGTATTAAGGTATTTGTTTGGAGACGGATTGTGTTTGTTCTTGTTTACCTGTATTAAAGTGTTTGTTTGGAGACGGACTGTGTTTGTTCTTGTTAACCTGTATTAAAGTGTTTGTTTGGAAACGGACTGTGTTTGTTCTTGTTAACCTGTATTAAAGTATTTGTTTGGAAACGGACTGTGTTTGTTTTGATAACCTGTATTAAAGTATTTGTTTGGAGACGGACTGTGTTTGTTCTTGTTAACCTGTATTAAAGTGTTTGTTTGGAGACGGATTGTGTTTGTTCTTGTTTACCTGTATTAAAGTATTTGTTTGGAAACGGACTGTATTTGTTTTTATAACCTGTATTAAAGTATTTGTTTGGAGACGGATTGTGTTTGTTCTTGTTAACCTGTATTAAGGTACTTGTTTGGAAACAGACTGTGTTTGTTTTGATAACCTGCATTAAAGTATTTGTTTGGAGACGGATTGTGTTTGTTCTTGTTAACCTGTATTAAGATATTTGTTTTCAAGCTGACTGTTTTTTTCTTGTTAACCAGTATTAAAGTATTTGTTTGGAAACATTATTTTTAACTGAGGAGAAAGTAAAACCACTTTCTATTTATATTTATATCTATGTATATGTTCGTAAAAATATTATATATTCACTTGTACACTATCATATAACGAGTCTAGGAACATACTATCATATAACGAGTTGGAGTCTAGGAACATACTATCATATAACGAGTTGGAGTCTAGGAACATACTATCATATAACGAGTCTAGGAACATACTATCATATAACGAGTTGGAG